CGTCCCACACCTTCCCCGGGCGCCGGGGCGGGCGCCCGGCCTCCTCCCAGAGCACACCCCGCGCTGCTGCGAGGGGTCGCTGCCACCCCGCTGTACAGCCGAACGAGCAGCCGGGGTAGTGGCTGGCGGGGGGCCTGTCGGTCACTGGAGGTTTGTCTGTCTCTTGTCGTAGGGAGAAAGAACTGGCAAAAGTGACCATCAAGAAGGAGGACCTGGAGCTGATTGTGAGTAGGGGCGGGATGCCAGGCGGGCGGTGGCGTGTCCCAAACCTCGGGTGCAGCCGGCGTCTGGTCACTGAAACTGCACCGAAAGACGAGGCTGGTGCACACCTGCCCGCAGCGCTGGGGCCAGGCGGGTGCGCGGCTGGGAGGCCCCCGCTGCCGACCCCCCCAACCCAGCCCGCGACACCGTTCTGCGGCCGCTGTACGGGGCTGCGGCTGTTTCCCTGCAGATGACCGAGATGGAGATCTCGCGGGCAGCCGCGGAGCGCAGCCTGCGGGAGCACATGGGGAACGTGGTGGAGGCGCTCATCACCCTCACCAACTGAGCGCCGGGCCCGCTGGACGAGCACTCCCTCGCTGGACGCAGGGTTGGCTGGAGACGCGATGTGTTACCTTACCCAATAAAGGCACCGGTGGGAGTGGGCTGTCACTGTGGTCTGCACAGCGCCGGGCGCCTGCCTCTGCCCACAGGGTCCCACAGGGCACGCAGTGCTGACGAGTGGGGCCTGGCCTGCGGGAAGACGTGCGGCATCGTGCTGGCAGTGCCCAGGCACCCCCGTGACCAGAGCAGGATGAGGCGACCTGCCTGAGCACCGAGACGTGCTGCTCTTCCCGCTTTTAACCCTGGTCCCCCCGGGGCGGCACAGGCGGCCGCTGGACGGACCCTTGTTCTGGACCACAGCAGCTCTCCCAGGGCCAGTGGCTCCTGTCACTCCATTGTCCCTGCTCACGTGCTGGCGGGTGCACCCGAGGTCTGGCAGGGCAGCACCGCACCAGCCCTTCTCGCCTCAGTAGGTCTGGCTGTGACCGGAGGCCCGAGGCGCGGGGGCCTGGGCGAGCCAGGGGCCTGGGCGAGGCGGGCAGGGTGGCGGGGTGAACCTGCTGCTGCCTGCGCCCCCCCACCCCCCGACTGGTGCGGGCGCTCAGGCCCTGGAAACGCAAGGAGTTTCATTAACGTCGCTCATGGGGCTGTGCTGTCCCAGGAGCTGCGGCAGGAACCTCATGTCTCCCATCCTCGGAGAGCGCAGCTGATGCCAGGGGGAGCTGCAGCCCCAGGTACGAGGGTGAGGGAGCGGTGGCAAGCCAGGCGCGGTGACGGCTACCCTCACGCACCCTGCCCAGGCTGGTGCCTCCTGGGCTGCACCAGCCCATCCTGGCTCGCAGGAAGGCGCAGAACAGGATGGCCGCATTCCACAGACAACACGGCCAGAATGTGTAAGAAAACGACCGCTTTAATCAAACTGACCCCCCCCACCCCGGTAGAAAAGCCAAGCCCTGCAGAAACAGGGTGAGGAGATGGGGTCACCGCTGTTCCACACCAAAAAAGGGCCCAAACTGACAACGGGGAAAGTACAGGCAATAGGGAGATGCTGTGGACCAGATGGGTATAAAAGTCCGTTAATTCCTCAAAAAGTGGGTGTGCTGGAGCCGGGGGCGTTGCCACACTCCTGCACAGCCCTGTCGGGCACTGCCGAGGCTCTCGGGGCGGCTGCTGGTGGGATGGCGGTGTGGCCGCGGGCCTGGCCAGCACGGACAGGCTGTCATCATCCATGGCACCCAGGCAGGGAGCCTGCCGGGTCTCTGCAGCGTGGGGAGCAGGACACCGCATCGACAGGGCAGGCGTGGTGCAGGGGCATGGAGGAAGGGCTTGCCACCACACGAGTCCTGGCACAGAGCTGTGTCCCTTCTGTCCCTGCGGCAGCTGGCGGAGAAGTGCCCTCCTGCCCGCTCCCTTAAGTGGTTTTTCGCTTCTTGGCTGAGGGTCTCTCAAAGACATCCCGCACGCCCGCTGCTTTCTGCTTAAAGAACTTGGTGTTCTGCGCGCTCTCCTGGCCCCAGGCAGAGTCGAAGGAGGTGGTGTCCTGGTCCACCAAGTGGGTGTACTTCGTCCGCCCCGAGCGCCCAAAGTTCTTGACCTAGGGAGCAGAAGAGCTTGTGAGCAGCCATCCAGGGAGGACGTAGGGACCCGCAGCTCCTCCCCACCCAGCGCGCGAGCTCCTGCCCCCGCCGAGAACCGCGAGGAACCGCAACCCCTCGGTGCAGCATGCAGGCCAGGCACCCTCCAGCCGGCACGCTCACCTGCATGACTTTGGGCAGGATGGTCTTGTTGAAGTGGTCCTCGAGGGTCGGGGCGCTGAAGTCCCTCTTGTACACCTCCTCGTCCTCATCCTGCAGAAGGAGGACATGCCTGCTCAGCCTGCAAGTTTCCAGCAAGCGCCAGAAGTGGGGGAGAGCCACCAGAAGCCCGTATCGCTGCTCTGCTGGGGGCTGCCACGGTACTTGCAGTCCTATTAACCTACTGTTGAAGGTGGGGGACGCGAGCGTTGTCCCCCGGGCCTGCCCCTGGCAGCCACCCTCACGTCCACTCAGGCCACTTCTCCAGAGCCCAGGCCGTAGCCCACATGGAGCTGGCTCGGTTCTGACAGGGTCCGTCAGCCCAAACAGCAGCACGGGGACAGCTCTGCTGCTTCGGCTCCGTCTCAACTGGGAACCCTCAACCTAACGTGCTCTGGTGAGGCAGCGCAGGCCGGCTCCAGGCAGAACTGCGCCCGTCCCGCTTGGGCTCCAGAGGGCAGCTGCAGGCCAGCGCCTGGCAGGCTGCCGTGGTGTCACCGCTCACCCTCTCCCGACCACATTGGCGTCACCGCTCACCCTCTGCCACAAGAGCTGGTGAAGTTCAGATCACCTCGGTCACTTCAGCCCTGTGCTGCCTCCAAGGGCTGGCTCTTGTCCCAGGGCACCCCCAGCCCCAGGGCACCACGGGGGGAAGCTCCCCACAGGGAGAAGACGTCCCCGTGGTCTCACACAGCCCCTCCAGTGCATCGGCCCAGCCCCTGCTGCCAGCGCGGCCATGCCCAGGCCCTCGCAGCACCACTCACCATGAAGAAGGCACCGCGGTGGTAGTACTTCTGCAGGAACTTGTATTTGCCCTTCACCGCCTTGTTGGTGATGACCTTGCCGTTGGCCCGAAGCTCGGCCCGGCGCTCCTCCTCCGTCAGGTTCCGCATGCGCTCGATCTCCGCCTTCTCCTTCTCCATGCTGCGCAGGAGAGAAACCCCTGAGACCCTGTGTCCCCACAGCACCCTCCCGGGACAGCTGCTGTCGCCAGCTGCTGTCCCATACATTTACTGACTGGAGGGGAGCAAAGGCACCCCAAGGGCAGGCAGGAGAGGCTTTGGGTGCTTGGTCTAGCTAAGACTGTGCTGCCAAAGGGAAGCCTGAGGGAGAGACGCCTCAACTGCCCACGGGCCTGCGGGGCCTGAGGCTGCGGGGTCTCAGCTTCGTGCCTACACAGATGATACTTACGCTTCTCGTTCTTCACGGTCCCGTTTGATACGCTTCAGCTCACGTACTTTCCAGGCCTCGTACTCCTCCTCGTCATTCTCATCATCTGTATCAAGTGCATCCAGTGCTGCCAGCGAGCGCTTGTTCTCTTCCAGCTCCTTCTTCGCTTCCTCTTCTACGATCTGCAGCAAGGAGCAAGCTAAGCTTGCTGCAGTGACTGCAGCCCCCCCACGGAACCCCCAGCCCACCCCTTGGCACCTTGAGTGTGTACTTGCGCCTCTCCTCCGCCAGCCTCTTTGCCTCCTGCTCCAGCTCCTTCTGCTTCAAGGCTTCTGCTTCTCGCTCCTGAACTGTGATCCGGTCCTTCCTGCAGGCAGGGACCACAACAGCCTTCAGCCTTTCCGTCAGCTAGCGCAGCCGCTCGGCTCCTTTCAGGCTTTTCCCCCTCCTGCACTGCAGCTGCTTTCAGCCTTTGCTCTCTCCAAGGACGGGCCGAATCCCAGGACTCTCCCCTTTCCAGCGTTGCCCATGCCAGGGCTACCGCACCGTTCCCCTACAGCTGCAGGCGCACATGCGAGCGCCGGGAGACCAAGCCACCAGGAGCCTGCCGACTGCTTCCCTTTGCCACCATACGGCACTTGCCCAAGGGCTCCGGTCAGACCCTGCTGCAACTTCAACCCACAGCCTGATCCCGCAGCGACCAATGCAGCTGACGAGGGGCTGTCAGTGCAGGGATTGCCCCTCGCTCCCGCCCGTGGGGAGGCAAACCGCCACCCCGCAGCAAGGAAGAGGAGACCACGGCAGCAGCGTCCGCTCAGCCCCCAGCTCCCAACTCCCGTGTCCTCGCCCAGGGCTGACCCACGAGGCCACGTCACCCACTTGCGGATGAAGACAGGTTTGAGACGCGGCTCCATTTCATCCTCGCTGTCCGTGTACTCCTCATACTCGGACTCTGACTCAGACTCTTCTCCGGATCGACCCTCATCTTCCAACTCCATCACTTCCATCTCCTCGGTTTTCCTCTCCTGTGCTCGCTGACGCATCATCCCGCGCCGACGCTCGATCTCCTGACGGAGACAAACACAGAGGAGTCAGACAACCAGCCCCGCTACCACTTCCCTCTCACTCTCCTGTCCAAAGCGTGCGTGTCTGGCGTGTTGGTTACGAGATGATATGCCCGTCCCTCCGGACGCAGGGTGGCCTCTCCCGGCGTCCCATCCCACGCAAGAGGACAGTAACCCACAAGTTAAGTCACGGCCAGCTGTGACACTTGTCAGCCACCAGACAGCCCACATGTCCGTACAAAAGGCAGTTCCAGTCTGTGCCATTCAGGGGCTTCCCTAGGCCCGTTATTCGGCTCCGCAAGCACACCTCATCATCGATCTCTTCCTCTTCCTCTTCGCTGGTGTCCTCCCGCTCCAGGCGCCAAGCTTCCCCCTCCACCTCTGAATCACTTTCTCCAACCACTTCAGGCTCCACAATTTTACGGTGTCTTGCCAGCCTGCAACAGACCCCAATTAAATGACGGCACTTCGAACATAAAGAGGCTGCAAGAAGTTAACTATTCATAAATTGTTCCTAACAAGGCCGTGGTAAATGCTGGAACTGCTGAGCGTGGGCAGACCCCACACATTCTCTCCCAGGAGACTGGAGTGGCTGGGCACCAGCAGCTCCTCCCTGTCCATGCTCTGAGTAGGAATGGAGCTCCCAGCACGAAGCCTCCCTGTTACTGGAACAGAAAGCAGCAGCAGCTCCACAGGACGAGGCAAACGGCACTCGGTTACTCCCTGCCTGGAGCATACTTCACATGACACCATCCCTTCCCACTACCCTGAGACTCAGCACGCTGTGTTAATTTTTATTTTGGAGCCTGTTTTCACCTGCACCCACCCAACCACACCCAGACGTGGGACTATACCCTGGGAAAGAGTGACTCCTGGTTGGAAGGGCTGCTCACGGCAGGGCCGGAGCCCGAGACATGGGGCAACACAGACATGAGAAGTGTCAGAGACTCTCCTGTGCTGCCTGGAGAACGTTCCCAGCTTCTGCCCGGCGTTCCTGCAGTTCCTCACCGCAGTGCGGCAGAGCCGGGTTCAGACTCCCCAGCCCCCTGTGAGGGCAAACCCGCAGGGAAGCGTGGCAGGGGCAGGCAGAGACGCGGCTCCTCGCTGGCCCCAGCACTCACCGCTCCTCCACATCTTCGGCGATGCGGTTCTGGAGGCGCCGGAGCCGGGGGTCGTTGGCGAGCTCCTCCTCCTGCTCCTCGGGCTCCACCTCCTGCTCCTTCGCCTTCTTGATGAACTGGAACTCCTCGTCCTCCTCCTCCGAGGACTCCATGGGCGCGTAGTCGGGC